CACCGGATCATGCCAATATCATTGTTTAAAATACTATTTAATTGTACTTGTGTGAAAAAAGAAGTGAAATATAAAAATATTTCATGTATATATTTATAACCATAAATACTTTTGATGTAGTTTTATAACTCTAGATATGATATTATATTTAAATTATTAGGTAACTATTAGCTCTTTCTTCCAAAAAATCATCAAGTAACCTTTTAGGAAATTAAATGACTGAATAATTTTACGAATTTTCCCTTTGTGAAATACCAACATTGTCGACTTACAATTAGTGTGACAATTTTCAACGTATCCATGGCAGGCACTAGCGGATCCAGGATTTATTTTTGGGGGGGGCTTCAGCCCGAAAGTTTTTTTTTCATAAAAATAACGATAATTACTTTGGGAAAAAAGAAAGAAGCTAACTACTTATATAAAATGGTGTTTAAGTGATTCCTAAAGGCCTTTTAAATGTAATTACATGAAAAATAATACTTTAAGAGATACTTTTTTAATATTTTTTTCGATAAAACGTGGTTATATTTTATCATTTTGGGAGGGGGGGGGGCTTCAGCCTGAAAGCCCCCTCCCCCCGTAGAAGCTCGTGATGGCAGGCAACGAAAATCTTGTAATTTCATTTTTGTAAATTTTATAATGGAAAACAACAGTTTAATAATTAATAGTCCTACGATCCATAATCATTTATATGTTAAATATTCAGATATAATTTCAAATCGCTCTAGGCATATATGAACCTTTCAGTTGTCAGAACGACTAACTCCAATTTCAACATTATTTATTATTAATTTTAGTGATGTTTCTATTGGCAAACTTATACCTTTATTCACAGTTCTATATTTCAACATTGCAATCGCCTACTCTGGAATCAACCTGCTCACTGTCTGTATAGATATAACTTTTCCAACTAGAAATATCACTAAAATGACATTACTCAAAAATCTTGAAATAATAGTTATTCATTATGTCAACTGAAAGGCTCAGAGATTGAAGTTATGTAGTTTATAAAACTAGATTTTCATTGGCTACCGTCGATATAATTAATAGCCTTTTTTAATTTTAATGGTCTTAAAGATTTGTTATCTGTAAGCTTTAAGCTTTAGCTCCGGTTAAAATGCACTTCAAAATTTTTAAAATACCCCAACATTGCCAGAAAATTATTGTTATTGAAAGTAAAGGGATAAGTGAAAGTTATGTGTTGCCCGCACCAGACTTTTTTGGTACTTGTTTAAACCTGTTATAGATTTGAGAAATACACATGATTTAATAAATTATTAAGATTATACCGACCTAACTGAAGTTGGTTGGTGGTTTGTCTCTCTGGACGAAGAACATCCAGGTTATCAATCAATGCACGATCAATTAAATACACTACTTTTAAACTACTCTGGTAGTAGTTTCAAAATAAAAAAAACATCTGCCAAGTAAGGTCAGTATAGCTTCCTCACCGTTGTCATTGTATATTACAAGGTATACCATTTTTCGTATGAGAATAAAACCTCTGGGAGAAGACGATTCGGAAATACAGTTACCCTTCAACATTCAACAAAAGAGTGCTGTATTTGAAGATTCCATATTTGATTATCCTTAATAAAAAAAATGCATGCTGAACATGAATTTCAATACTGTTAGTGCAAAGATCTTGTGTAAAGATTTATTGTTTTACAAGAGTGCATAAAAACTCATTATTTCTTTATGCTTTATTAGTATAATTTCATATTTTATTGTCATTTGCTACTTTCCATAGTAGCAGACTACTTATATCTGTTGCAGACTACAAAATGTCATCTTTAATACAAATAGAATAAAAGTTGAAAATTTTTACATACGACCTTTTGCACTAATAATAGTGATATACACTAGCGGATCCAGATTTAGTTTTGGGAGGAGGGCTTCAGCCTGTAAGATTTTTTTTTCATATACATATAACGATAATTAATTTTTTAAAAAACGCTGCAAATTATTCCACAATAGTTTATTATTTCCAAACAGTTATACATCTAAAATAACATTATCTTCCTAGTTATAAAGAAAAAAGGTGATTCCAATTATTGGACTAAACTTTTTTTTTAATCATTAGTAATATGCTAAAAAAATAGCATTACTTCAGTAACGCACTCAAAATTTAAAAACCAAACCAAAAGAGTAAAACCTCAAATTTTAAGAGGGGCTTAAGTTTTTGAATTTTTTAGTCGATCACAATGGTTCATTATTGAAAATAATAAACCAAAAATATATTAAAATCGCGATATCTATACTAATAGTGCTTTGATTTCGATGAAACTGCATTCATTTTTTAGGAAATGTAAATACCTTTCAAACATCTTATCACAACATCGACAAAAAAGTGTATACTTTTTGAGTTATTCGGAATTTAATTTTTCCACCCCTCGTAACTTTTTTCCCAGCTTCTTTTCATTGAAGTATGTTATATAGATAAATTTAAAGGACATCGAGAAAATGACTAAAGAAGTTTCATTGAAATCGGTAAATTCGTTTAGGCGCTATAGTCTATAGCAACGTAAGTTTTTCGGCTGCCATTTTAAAAGTAAAAGGCAGATGGTAATTTCGGCGAAGGAGGATCAACCTCGGGCGACTTCTGATTTTATATCTAAATTTGAAAAAAATTGGTCCAGTAGTTCCGGAGAATGCGCGGACGGCGGACGGACAAAAAAATTAGTATTCGTTTTTCGAATCTACGTATCCTGAAATTTTAAGATGGGGTTAAGTTTTTGGTCGATCACAATGGTTCATTATTGAAAATAATAAACAAAAAAGACTAAGTAAATACTTAAATAAAATAAATACACTTAAAAATAATAATAATAAGATAAAATAAATCCACTTAAAAATAATAATAATAAGATAAAATAAATACACTTTAAAAAAATAATAATAAAATAAATAAATGAACTTTAAAAATAAAAATAATAATAATAATAAAAAATAAAATAAAAGTTCTGCAAAGGATCATTAGTCATAAACATCATATATTTTTTATAAGACTTTCATTATGTAGGAACTTCAGTTAAACCTAAATGAAGTTATAACCTGAATTATGAACATATTATTTAATTGAGCGTGTCAAATTTTAATGTACTTCTTAAAATTAAATAACATTCTTTCATCACAATTGAAGGGTATCAAAATGATGCAGAAGAAACGAATATTACTCAGTAAATGAAATGTTCCCGGGGGGTACAAGATGTGAAATTTTACCTTTCTAAAAATGGTCTAAATTAAGCTAAATTTTAGATATTTGTTTCCCACAAAGTTAACTAGTTTTGTGTTTATCTGCATTTCAACAAAAAAATTATGCTTTTATAACATATGATTTCTAGATAATAACTGTTTTTTTACTAAAAAAACAAGACAAGAGAAATCAGCATATATTTACAATTAGAGTTCCTGATTATTTAAAGCATATGAATAAAATCATGATTGTTAAACCCTCTTGAATCCTTATTATAAATATCTATATTAGAAAATATTTTTAAAAAGTTTCATATATTTTATGTTTAAAAATACACACCCTATGTACAATAAATAAAATAAATTATACAGAAAAATAATATACATACAATAAATAAGTCATTAAATTAAATACATTTAATGAAATTAGATTAAAAAGAACACAAAAACATGAAATAACTTGCGATATACAAAACATTTGATCATAATTTAATAATAAAATAACCTATGTTTAAGAAAGAACATATATGTAAAAAAAGCAAAAATAAATCTAATAACTGAACAATTAATCTCCAATAATAAAAAAATAAACTTCAGTAAATTAACAATATATACGAAACAAAAAACATTGAACAATGTACAAGATACTTAAACTATATACAAAACAAATGAAAAATAATAAAAAAAAATAAGATAAAAGGGAAAACGAAACAAAATTAACTTTTCTAATTGATGAGTACCAAGTCTACAATAAGTAAAAGATTAAATATTTATTAGTTTACGTTTTAAAGTTGAATTTAAATCCATTTTAAAAACTTACTTAATATCACTAGCAGTGTTTTAATTAATATCACTTTTCAGTACTGGATTGGAGTATGTCATGTAGGTGCTCAAAGCTGTCCCTAGACATTCGGAAATATTGAAAAAATCTATCTTCGTAAGATTGCAGACGGCTGAGGCGATAGCATTCTACCAATCAGTCTCTGTGCTTTTTTATTTCATGAATCCTTTTTCTTTTTTTTACTTTTATGCTAAAGAGCTAAACTAATGAGAAGTGCCTCCTCGTCAGAATCACTTATTTTCTATTAAAAAAAAAGTGAACAAGAAAAATATCTAAAACAAATTGGTAATATAAAACTTGCAGGAAGCAGGTACTCTAGCTGACTAAGCCATGCAGAGCGACGGGGGCTACTGTATCATTTTCAAAATAACGCTCTCTGTGTGACTGCCCCGGAATCGTCTTGAGTATTGAGCGTTATTGTAACGCAACGCCGGATCGCGTTCTGTGTGTACGAGCCTTAACTGATGCACCAATTTGCACTATGCAGGATATCATGCAGGACCTACCATATAATATGCAAATGTAATGCTTACCTATGATGTGTTACTTTCAATATGGTTATGACTGCATTATTGCTTTACTGCTTTGTGAATTGATTGTTCCTAAAAGCATATACAAATTCACAAAGGCCTGTTTTAACAGAGTTTAGGATAGCACACTATAGATCTCAAGGAGGCTATGGTGCATTCATACCAGAAACTAAATAAAAAAAAGAGTTCAGTATGCAATATTTTTTTTTTTTTTTTACATGTATATCAATAATAATACATAAACTTTGATAATACAATATATCCATATAACTCACAAGTCCAAGAATATAAATATAATAAAACAAATATTTGATACTATAATAAAATTTTTAAGAAACATGGAGTGTGAATGAAATAAAACATGTAACTAATGTATACAATACGATTATAGAAAAATTGCACTAAAACTCAAAAGAAAAATTAATTCTAGTGATTAATTATTGATAATTTTTTTAATATTTCATGTATGCTTCAATACTTTAATAAGTTCTACTATTTTTACAAAACAAAATTAATTTTTAAAAACTTAACACAAATGATTTTCATCACACAAAATCTTAAAAATAAATTTATTCTTTAGCATCCCCAATGCCATCTGGATTAATTGAAAACATAGCTTCAGCTTCAGGCAAACATGGTGAGTCATATACTTTGCAAATTCTAGTTTCCCCGCGTCCTTTCCTTAAATATAACCTGAAAGCAACATTTAATTATAAATACCTGTATTGTATACACTGGTACTGGTGGGAGGAAATAGTCCGGCAATTAGACCTAGTGGTACTTCACAGAGGTAAAATTTATCAAAAAAATTAGAGATTTATATTTATAAAATGTTACTTCTTGACTTTATGTAATAAGCCCACAGTGTATATCGAAGAAAAGGAAATTCAAATTGTGCCTTAAAATCACAATTTAGATAATATGAACAATCTATTAAAGTAAAGGTGCTACATATCTGCAGCACCAATAATACAAAATACTCAGTGCTTTGTGAAGATTATAAACAAGCTATTTGTAGAACTCATATATTTAACATTTTTACAAACCATAAATAATATAATATTGTCATTTATTTGATAAATTCTGAATTTTTATAACAAATTTTGTATAACTTTATCTGAAAATTTTGTTTGATAATCTTCACTTTGTAATAATATATAACCTAAAAATTATGTTCCGTAAATATTATCTTTTATATTACATCAAATATATTGAAAAGAATTTGGTTGGGGTGTTTAATCAAAGTAACAAAGTAAAAATAAATGAATTATTTTTATTTTAAAGACTCTGTGTCTTACGGCACCTTTCATGAAAACAGCTTTGATGGAAAAATAGAAACCTTGGAAAAAATAGAAATAAATATAATTTATTTATTTTTACTTTGTTACTTTGACTGAATACTGGGGCTGGGATAGCCGTGCAGGCTAAGGTGCTTGCAACAGGTAACCAAGCAACGCCGAGCGTGGATTAGCACTTTGAGGGGTGACCGCCCGATTTGGGTGTCTGTCCACCAGGGAAAGCCACACTGCCCGAGACCCCCTCCCCCAGGTTTGAGAGGCCCGTCAGGCTACTGGAGACAACTCGCACCTACCGGGCGTAGGACTGATGACCCTACCCCCGTGAACTTGAATCAGGAATCGGGATGAGGTCACACTACATCTCGTGGTCATAGATCTACAAGGTCTGTAACGCCAACCAATGTTGGGCAAATTATCTCAAATAAAAGATAATAGATAACGAATAATTTATTCGAACTTTCAACTACAAATAACGAATAATTCTGTTTATCTTTTATCTAGATAATAAATAAATTCAAGTTATCTATTATCTTTTTATTTTTTATTCGAGTTTTTTCGAATAATTTTATTTTTCTTCTACATAAGGGCTAATTTGTATATTTTCAGATCCATAGTTTTTGAAACTAATCTCCATTTTAAGATTACGACAGTGTGTTAGGACTTTTTTGAGTTTTCCGGATTTCTTCCATATCTGGGTTTTGGGGTTTTGCTTTTTATGAAGATACTTTTGGATTTGAGATAGCAACCTCAGGCATCGACTTTTAGTAACTTTCCGGATTTAATTGATCTGAGCGTCGCCTATTAGGTTTTCGAGAGAGCTTATTATGAAAATTCTTTCGGATTTGAGATCGCGCCCCCTGGCATCGACTTTTTGTAACTTTTCGGATTTAATCGATATGAGGGTCGTCTATTGTGTTTTGGGGGGTGCTTTTTATGAAAATACTTTCTGTTTTAAGATAGCAACCTCAGGCATCGACTTTTTGTAACTTTACGGATTTAATCGATATGAGAGTCAACTATTATGTTTTGGTGGGCGCTTTTTATGATAATACTGTCGGATTTGAGATTGTGCCCAAACATATCGACTTTTTGTAACTTTCCGGTTTTAATTGGTATCAGGGTTGACTAATATGTTTTAGGGGTTTTTGCCCGGCAGCGCTGTCTCAAATCCGAAAGTATTTTCACAAAAAGCGCCCCCTCTCCCAAAACATAATAGTCGACCCTCATATCAATTAAATCCGAAAAAATATAAAAAGTCGATGCTCGAGGGAGCTATCTCAAATCCGAAGATATTTTCATAAAAAGCGCCCTCCAAAACATAATAGTTGAATCTCATATCGATTAAATTCAAAAAGTTACAAAAAGTCGGTGCCCGAGAGCGCAGTCTCAAATCCAAATACATTTTCATAAAAATCACCCTCCCCCCAAAACATAATAATCAACCCTCATATCACTTAAATCCGAAAAGTTACAAAAAGTCGGTGCCCAGGGACGATGTATCTAAATGCTGAAGACCATTTTCAAAAACATATAAACACTGCCCCTAAAACACATAAACAGACTTAAATATCAAAGAAATTCTAAAATTACAAAAAAAATTTCGAATCGTATTTTTATCTTAAATAATGAATAATAGATAATAGATAGTGCATATTATTTGTAAATAACAAATAACAAATAATTATCTGTCCAAAGGTCGAATCTTATCTGTCGAATAAGAATAACTAATAAAAATTTATCTATTATTCGTTATCTAGATAAAATTTCAAATAATTCATTTAAATAACGCCCAACACTGGCACCAACCGAAAAACTTTAACTGAATACCCCCAACCAACTTATCTTCAATATATCTATGACAGTCATTAATTAATCCACTACATCAAATATAATTTCATTTGTAATCTAAATGTTTAAAACTTAAAAATTTTTGTTTAAATGTTTTTTTTTCTAACTTTTTAATTCGAGTTGTTATGGCCAGACATGACTACTTGTATCTCTTCTTAAGAAGTGAGATTATGGCTTAAGAAGTCAATATACTACATATGATAAATATACTATTAATCAAATGCAGTATTTTGAAAAAAATAGATAAATAACAAACCTTGTTGTAGAAGAATGTGCCATTATGTGTCCGCCAACAGGCTTTTTTGGATCAGCAGAAAACATAGCAGCCCCATCAACTTGAGCTACTACTTGATTAGTAATAACAACTGCTACTCCAAACTAGAACAGTTTAACATTTATAAATAACTTTCATTTTTTTTTTTTAAGCTTAGCTCAATACAAATTTTTAACTATAATTGCTTCAAAATGATATACATTATTTTTGTAACATTTAAAAAAAACAACTCAAAAAAATGAATTACTAATCATCAACACTATTCAAAATTCGAATCTAAAAATTAATATTAAATTATATTTTGTAATATAAACATCAAACTAATAATTTGCAGTAAGTGCAACAGTTGCTTTACTGATTGTTTTATATCTTCCTTTAATTACGCCTGCATCATTTTTAATTAGTTGAATTAGTGCATCCCGAGTGCCTGCTTTTATTTTGTATACTTCATCTTTGAACTAGCTTTATAAACAATAAACCAGTACTGTGAGGTGTGGAGATCTTGGACACCAACAAATTGGACCACCACGACCAATCCAACGATCTGGAAACAATTCATCCAAATGTTGCCTCAGCTGACAAGTGAAATGAGCAGGAGCCTCCATCATATTGAAGGTGCATTTGCATTCCGATGTTTAGAGGAACAATGTCTAATAGTCCTTGTAATTCAAATTATAAAAAGTTGAAGTACTAGTCTCATGAGAGGTGATTCTCAGGAAGGAAACTGCCGACCAGTGAAGAAGAGGCCAAAAATGTTCATAAGTCGATGGCGGTATTTTCGAATATTTATTACAATAAGAGTTAAATGACTGAAATGCTAATACGTACATGAAGTTTTGTTCATTTGTAACTAACCAATAAAATTCAAACAAATGAAATGACGTAACCTATATACCATTTTTTTTTTTTTTTCGATTATTTCCTACCTCACCATTATTGATATGAAGGAGAGGCGATGTTTGTTCTAGACGTACAATCAAATCTATTTTAACAAGAATGAGAAAGTAGAGATTCTTTCTGTGGGTCCGCAACAATATTCCAAGCTCTCCTGGCACTGTTAGACCCAAGAATGTTAAAGTGAATAATGCCTCGACACGTGCAGCCATCACAGCCTCAAATATATCTATCTAAAAGAAAGGCTCCATGTATGAGTGGAGTAACTACAGAGGCTTAGTTCTTATTGACTACAGAATAACAATCCATACCCTGCTAAACTGTACATATCTTTATTACAGAAATATACTAGGCAACCACCGAACTACAATCAGAAGAGGAAAGAGCATGCTAAATCAGATCATCATCCTAAAACAAAAGCTCGGAAATGATGAGATGTAGCTCAAATGAGCACACATTATTTATCAATTTCATAGTAGTCCATGATTCAGTGGAGGGAAATTGTCTTTGGAAGATCATGACTGAACCAGGAGTTCCTGTTCATAAAATAATTCTCACAACAAAGATCCCTGTATGCCAGGAAATAGAAGGTAGGAGAAAAAAAAAATAAGTTCTTACTTTTTTTTTTTAACATTTCTTGTAGATATTCAAATATACGTATATTAGTAGCTGTACTGAATTTTCCAAAATGTTACATATGAAACATGCAGAAAGTTAAAATTGGTTAAAATGTTTTGTTTAAAATACAATGAAAACGAGTAACAGAGGAAAAACTAAAAAAAATAAAATATTTTTTCAAAATTGTTAATACAAATTATTTCCAAGTTTTTAATGTTAAAAAGGAAATTTCCTGTTGAAGATATGCAATTTTTCAAATTAAGATTGTTAAGTCATTATGAATAAAAAATGAAGGTAAAACTTAAAATTAGAGACTTGATTCTAAATTCTTGAAAATTAAATTTCAGTATAAAGTTACCAATATCTCATTTAATAGTTCACTAATCAATTATATTAAATTGAGCTAGACAAATGTTAATTAAGCATTCAAGGATGAATACTCATTAAAAATATTAGTGATACATTCAGAAAAACTAAGATAAAAACTATTGTAAATACAAATAATACATACTATATACTTCAAAATTTATTCATCATTAAGAAATTATTTACTTAATATCCCTGAAAGAGACAAAGCTTTCCAATTCAGTTACCATATGTCAGTGATTAAACATATATATGATCTTTATGAACTACAAATTTCATAGATGTGACCGCTACAATTGTCATAGAAAAAGTCTCAATTATTAATTAAAATACCAAATTTTGTAAATTTTAACTTTTTATGTTCAAAATGAGTTTTTCCATTAATAAAAAAACATGCAAAAAAAGAAGATAAAAAAAAAATTATTCGTCTATCATATTTTACCTCATCGGCTAATCTTAAAAGCAGCCTTAGAAATCGAGCAAGATGAGATTGTCTTGCAGCTAATTCACCTCTCCCACAAAAATCTGTTCTGTATAATGCCATAGCACTATCAACAATCAGCAATGCAAACCTAATAAAAATATAACACATTCATGTATCACCATAAGACTAACACAGGGTCAACCCTTAATGATTTGAAAAGCTAAAGAGCTTAGAAATTTGGGTCTACTTTAAACTATGAAAATTGTGGTAAGAAATTATACTCAAAGAGGACCAGGTGTGTAAATATGAAACTGGAATTTTAGTTTAGAAAATAAACATTTATTGCATGCAAATGTTAAAAAATATTTTATTCAAAATATTGCGTTTATCACAGCTATACATTTTACCCATCTATCTCATTATATTTTTCAAATAAATAATAGTTGGATGGAACCAAGTCCGGTGAGTAAGCCAAATGCACTAATATTACCCAACTGAAAGTATCAATCGTTTATTTCGCTGGTTTTACTGTGTGTGAAGGTGCATTATGATGAAGTTAAATCGCTTTATTTACTCTCTTTATATATTCTGGTAATTTTTTACACAATACTTGTTTAAAATCGATCATTTACTGTCTAAAGCGTTCAATATTGATGGTTAGTGTCAGGTTTTAGCAGCTCATGGTAGAAGTACCATTTTTTCAGTGTATTCCATGTTATTCATTTCTCATGTCCAAATTGCCAGTTTTGAATTTTTTAAACCACTCAACACAGTGATTTACCAAGAGCAGAGTTGGGCATTGGCGACCTAATTTTTAACTAGCTAACGTTCAGCTAAACAGCTAAAATTAGTGTTACTAAATATGAAGCAAATTTAGCTAGTAAATGTTTTATCGTAACTAACTTTGACAGCTAAATTAGCTATTAGCGGAAACGAACAGCTAACTCTTAGCTTTAGCTAAATTAGCTATTAACTAAACTAAAAGCTAATTTAATGCTAACAGTGGAGCGAAATTTACTCATTTCATTTTATTAATTGATATTGGGATCGACTGTAATATAATCGAGGGCACTTTTTATGAAAATTCTATCGGATTTGAATTTTGAATAATTTAATCCGACAGTATTTTCATAAAAAGCGGCCCCCAAAACATAATTGTCGACCGTGATATTGATTAAAACTAGAAAGTTACAAAAAGTCGATGCAGGAGGGCGCAAACTAATATCCGACAGTATTTTCATAAAAAGCCCTAAAACATATTAGTCAACCCTGATATCGATTAAATCCGGAAAGTTACAAAAAGTCAATATATTTGGGAACAATCTCAAATCTGACAGTATTATCATAATAAGCACCCCCCAAAATATAATAGTCGACCCTGATATCTATTAAAATCCGGAAATTTACAAAAATTCAATGCAGGGGGAGGTGTGAGGGGCGCAATCTCAGATCCGACAGTATTTTCATAAAAAGTCCCCCGAAAACATTATAGTCGACTCTAAGATCAATTAAATCGAAAAGTTAGATATTAGCTTTTAGTTGAAGTTATAGATAAAGCTAATTAGCTGTTAGCTATAATAATTAACTATAGCTAAAAGTTAGCTTCCTGGTCCCACTAATAGCTAATTTAGATGTTAGTTATAGATAATTTTTGCACAACTCTGACCAAGAGCATATTCAAATTACTGTAAGGTCCTTCGACAACCATTTGATGCGATTCTGTGACTTTTTTTTTATTGGTGACAGGTAACTGATCCAAGTCCACAAGTCGTAGTTTGTAGGCATAAAACATGACATGTTTAACACCATTAAAACAACGGTCTAATATGAAACTTGTATTGTTATAAGTTGAAAATCTTTGCCAGCAGTCGAAGAGAAAAAATGGTGCTAATAATACGGTTTCATATTTACACATCTGGTATACTAAAATTGAAAAGCAATTTAAACATCTTATAGATTAAATATTAGGATTTTTGTTATAAAATAAACATATATAATGGAAATTTCCAACATTCCGAACAGGTAAATGTTAAGTTGAAATCCAAAAGACATGAAAAAATTAAAAATCTTTTGGTCTAATTTATTATAAGTTATTAGGATTTTTTTTTCCATCCTTTGCAATTATAGAGAAATTTACTGTTGACATTATTGGGATGTTCTGTTTAACTATAAAAATTTTGGTAAATTTCTGATTTTGTCCTTAAAAAAACAGCCTTCTTTATCCGTTTTTTGCTGATGACTTTTAATCAAAATAGAATATTACATTTCATCACTTTAAATTTAAAATTCATATATAAAGTCAATGTTTCAACAGATTGATTGAGTTCAGAAGAAGATTATCTAAAATTTAAATTGCTTTCAAGTTATAAGTTCTTTCATTAATCTGCTAGAAGGTCCTAGTCTATATGAAGGCTCTTCTTTGTTGCTATGATACTAAGCAACATATTTAACAATTTTAGTATTAAGAAAAAGAGTATTTTGAAAACAAAAAAAATTACTTTCATTAAATATAAAAGGGAAATGAAAAATTAATACAATGAGTGACATATACCTAGACTCTGTCATAAGAGCAGCAGCAAGGAGTAAAAGTTGTGTTTGATGGTCAGAATTAAAAGCTCTAGCAACAATTACATTATCAAGGACATCTGTGCTATTCATATTAAATCGTTTTGCTGTTTCAATAAGTCGTTCAGGCCGAAAACTACCTTCTGTATCAATATATATGCATTTACCTTCACCGCCACCATCATCAATTGGAAGCTAAGGACAAAATTAAAAATTAATAACAAGAGGATATTAAAAATAATTAATTAATAGTAGAATCAGATACTTAACCACAAACAGTATATAGCATTTCCAAGTCAATTTCAACCATTTCCAAGTCAAATTCAACCTTTTCCGAATCAAATTAAACTTTTTCCAAGTCAAATTCAACCTTTTCCATTTCAAATTAAATCTTTTCCGTTTCAAATTCAACCTTTTTTTATTTATTTAATTAATTTTAATTTTTCGATGTGTAGGTCTGTTATCTCGTATGAGTAGTTTTTGAAAATGACCTCCATTTTATGTTTACGCCACTGTGTTTTGACTTATTTAAGTTTTTAGTATTTATCCAATATAAAGGTCTACTTTAATGTTTCCAGAGCCGTAGATTTTGAAAACGACCTCCATTTTAAGATTAGGCCACCGCGTTTCGACTTATTTGAGTTTTTCGGATTTTTTTCATATGACGTTGTATTCTTATGGTTTCCGGAGCTGTAGATTTTGAAAATGACCTCCATTTTATGATTACGCCGCTGCATTTTGACTTATTTAAGTTTTTCGAATTTATCCAATATAAAGGTCTGCTGTTATGTTTCTTGAGCCATAGATTTTGAAAATGACCTCCATTTTATGATTACGCCATTGCATTTTGACTTATTTGAGTGTTTCGAATTTTTTTCATAAAAGAGTGCATTCTTATGTTTCCGGAGCCGTATTGAAATTTTTCTAATCTTTAATATTTAAATTTATCTAATATTTAATCTCCATTTTACGATTAAGCCGCGGCATCTCGATTAATTAGGCTTCATTTTGGATTTTTTCAATACAAAGTTTCATCAATATGTTTTCGAGTATGAATAAATAAATAAATAAATATTATGAAGCTTAAGTTAAATTAACCACAGAATACAAACTAAAAAGCCGAAAAGCAACTGGTAATAAATTTAACCTACCGTATTCAGATTTTTCAGCTAATTGTTCGAAATCTTATAATTTTGTTACAGGAAACCACAACATTAACAAAGATAACTAAAATTAAATTAAAAATGAGACAATAGGTATTTTATTTATTTCGATTAGATATTTTTAATCAAGTTTAGTTTATTGAAAAATAAATTAATCCTTCGTATTTTGTTTTTTATTCACAGGAAAAATCAAAAACACTTAAAAAAAAAAAAACGAAACACAGTGGCCTAATCTTAAAATGTAAGTCGTTTTAAAAACTAAGGCTCCGGCATCATAAAAGTAGACCTTTAAATTGGATAAATTCTAAACACTTAAAGAAATCGAAACGCGGTGGCCTAATCATAAAATGGAGGTTGTTTTCAAAATCTACGGCTCCGGAAACATAAGAATGCACTCTTTTATGAAAAAAATTCGAAACACTCAAATAAATCAAAATGCAATGGCGTAATCATAAAATGGAGGTCATTTTCAAAATCTACAACTCAAGAAACATAACAGCAGACCTTTATATAGGATAAATTCGAAAAACTTAAATAAGTCGAAACGCTGTGGCGTAATCTTAAAATGGAGGTCATTTTCACAATCTACGACTCTGGAAACATAAGAATACTACACGGTGGCCTAATCCTAAAATGGAGAGCGTTTTCAAAATCTACGGCTCCGGAAACATAAAAGTAGACCTTTATATTGGATAAATTCAAAAAACTTAAATAAGTCAAAAAGCTGTGGCCTGATCATAAAATGGAGCTTATTTTCAAAATTTATGGCTCGGGAAACATAAGAATACACCCTTGTATCGAATACATAAAAATAAATTAAATAAGTCAAAACACAGTGGCGTAATATTAAAATGGAGGTTATTTTAAAAACTAGGTACAGGACAGCATAATACTAGTCCCTAATAAATCCGAATAGGTACAATAAATTGATATCTGTGAGTGAAAATTCTACTTAGGAGCATAATAATAGACCTTCATATTGGAGGGGGGAAGGGGATGGCCATTATTTTAAAAAAATATAAAATTTACAAAAAATTAAAACATTAATTTGAAATGAAAACGATTGAATTTGAATTGGAAATGGTTGAATTTGACTTGGAAAAAGTTTAATTTGATCTGTAAAAGGTTGAATTTGACTTAGAAATAATTGAATATGACATAGAAATATTACACTGAAAAAAATATAAAATGTTAAAATAAATGGATATGCAACCGCGTTATTAAATTTTTTTTTTTGTATTTTTCAAAAGCTATGCCTTCGATAGTATAGTAAGTGGCCTTGATTTAAAAAAAAATCGAAAATTGAAAAAAATTCGAAAGTTGAATTTGAAATGGAAAAGGTTGAATTTGACTTGGAAAAGGTTGAATTTGAAATGGAAAAGGTTTAATTTGACTTGGAAAAGGTTGAATTTGATTTGGAAAAGGTTGAAATTGACTTGGAAATGCTATAATTATAAGATCGAGTAATTGCACAAAAAAATAAAATAAAATAAAAAAGTATAAATCTGAGTGATAAAGAACATATATAAGATTGAGATTGCACTTTTTAAATAATAAAAGAAGGTTCATATTTAGCTAAAAACTTGAAATAACAGTATGTCTCGATGGTATGGTGAGACTGGAGGGGTAATCTGAGACCACAGTAGTATGACGTATATGGCTGCTGTACATGATTCTATCTAAGTGTCTTTCAGCTCTTGTATATAAATATTCATTTTTAAAAGCAAATCAAATACAATTTTAACTAAATACTTATATTCACAGATAATAGGCTAAGAGAAAAAATGTGAAGATATTTCTTAGATGTAAGTTTTAAAGCTAATAAGTAACAGATAATGAACGGTATGAGCTAGGCGCTGACACACCATGAAGTAGCCGCGTCTTTGATTTTTGTAAATATGCATCAGAAATAATTGGGACTTTCTGCATTTTTATTGCTATAACCTAATCTTCATCAAGGAAAAACAATTCATACAAGTATTCAATTCAATTTATTTTATCAAATTTTATTTGTGTTTTTATAATTTGTATAAATTTAATTTGTGTTTTTAGTTCATGTTGTTTTTATTACTAGATACTACAATTCACTACTAGGGTTATATTTATGATTATTTATGTATCATATGTTTATTTACGAATTTAAATTAGATTTGCTTCAACAATATTATTGGAACAATGTTTTGAGCTGTAAATTGATACTTTAACAATTTACTTTTGTATATAAATTGCACATACATGCACATTTATCACTTCTAACTTAAGTAATAAAATAATTTAAATACAATATTCAATGCAACTTTCTAAGAACTTTTTCCAAACCAAATTATTTTTGTAAGAAAATTATTTACCTGACAAGTAACAGCTAATGTATGACAAATCTGAGTTTTTCCAGAACGAAATTCACCAAATATTTCAGTTATTGAACCAGTTTCAATACCACCACCCAAAAGACGGTCAAGTTCTTTTGAGCCAGTAGTCAGCTGAACTAATTCTGAACGCTTTTGGTGGGCTGCAGTAGCAGTAGTGAATCCCATAGGAACAAATTTAGTAGCTTCAGCCTATTAAATAATAACAAATACGTATTATAATTACATAGTAGTACATTTTTTTTCATTTTTGATCTATGCTATTAACATACAGGCCATTTTACGAGACTTGATTATTTGGACTTATATGAACTTAAACATGCATTTTTGTTGAAAACTCGTACTTGAAATTTTATATAATCACAATACATTCCCTTACCCTATATTTCATACGTAGGTAAGTGAAAGTAATACTACTCTTTTTCCCAAATAACAAAATTAAAGGAATTTAAAATACTAAATTTCATCAGCTTTCAAAAAAAGAAGACGGAAAAATAATTTGAATGCCATTAAGATGCTATAATGAAGAGAATTTTTCTAATAAGACTTATTTGTACCATTATTTTATCAGCTTTCGCTTCACTTATTCCTTTGATCGCCATTAAATGCCTTTTTGGAGTAAATGCAATGGACTCAACAGTGTGATATCCAGCATCACTAAGTTTTTTAACATCTGCAGCACTTATATTTCCTCCCTATAACAAAAAAAAATATTAAAATAGAATACAACTTCAGTTAAAAAGCCAATAACACTTTCAAGAAATTGAGTATCACAATTATACGTTACACTTTAAGACCTCCTGTCCATCATATGATAAAATGTGCGATAACAGCCATACCACAAATAGTTGCACCAAATGTTGCAGGTATTTATAATATGAAGCACAACAGAGATTCAATTCACTGTCATGCATTGCCGATGTCACTTTGTTTTACACAGGTAGTGGAAAAAAGGCTTAAAAGTTCTTTTACTGAACAAAAGTTTAAAATTTTAATTTTAACCAAATTAATTATTGATAACACTGGTAAAATCATCTATTGCGTCAATGTGATATTAATATATAACATAGAAAACAAACAAAAAGAGGTTCCAAGCCAGAGTCAAAGATTCCTTGAAATTATACAGTCTAACTTGAATAATTCAAAGGTTTTTAATTCCAAAGCTAGATAACTTGAACTTTGCTATTGGTCCCCTGTGTTTTTCCTATTTAATAAAAAAAAAATATCTCATGAGAAAACTAAAAATTATATATGAGGAGTTGATCGGGGGGGAGGGGGGGGGGGGGTGTGGTCAATTGACTGCATTCCCCGATCAACTCCTTCTCATATTATATCACGGTCAACCATCTCTACATCATTAAAAATTATATACATACATCATAGATGTATACAAAGATATGACATATAAATGTAAAACTAGTAAATACAGAGAAATAAAGATTTATAAACATTAGCAGGTTGAATGTTAGACATTAAATAATATCCCGAGTTTATTTAACTATGTAGAACTTAATCAAATGAAAATGATATGTGGAATGATGGAGTCTGATAAACACTTTTTTAATGGTTGGGAGAAATGGGACAATCCTACGATCTGTGTGTCAAGTCTTGGTTGTTAGAGGAAAAAGAGTTAAAAATAAGACATTTCTTTTCTCCCCCCTTCAGCTTCTGAGAAGCTTACTGCAATAATAACCATGTTTGGGGTCTTATACCCTGTCAAACAGGGGGTGGATTCACTCAGACTCCATCCAGCAGGAGAGAGTTAATAATGGATACAAGCAATCGATTAAGTCCCTTCCTAGTTGTTATATTTTAAAATGAATTAATATCTTAAACTTAAAATTGTCATCGAAGTAAAGCTACAAATTATACAAATCATTCTGACATCTATGTCATATTAACATGAACAGCATTGTCATAACTTTTATCATAACATATCTTCTAAATTTGGACACAATTTTATTAAAGAAAAAATATTCAATTTATTAGAAGTAATATAGTAAACAATATCTGAAATCCCTTGGAATAATTGGCAATGCAATTGAATACAATATCTATTTATATTTAATATAGTTTATTTTGTTGGGATGTACCGATTTTGAGTAATCTACCAAGAAATGACTATCAATGATAATTTGATCAATGCTAACCCTCAAGAATTCACCTACAGAAACAAAAAAAAAAAAAAAATGGATTGACAGATAATTATCAAGCATATCCTCAATTTCTTTACCATAAATCAAAATAAAATATTTTTCAAAAAGAGATTAAATCAGATACCTATACCAAACATAAATGATTAATAGCAAAACAAAATTATCCTATTTATTAATAAGTGATATTTATTTTTACTTCAATAGATTATAAAATAATGATGAAAGTTAATATTAAACGACATCAAAACAAGATGAGCATAAATTGTATTTTAAGAGCTTACCTGCAATTTTGAAACCGGATGATAGCTGCATTCATCATCTTCTTCTAAATTAGTAGCAACTGTATCGGCACAGCTAGACATTGAAGCACTTAAAGCCATCTTTAAATATAAAAATTGTCAGTAGACTTAAAACCCAATAGTAGAAACGATCACTGACTTTCGTTTCAAATATATGGCGGTAAGGCAATCTTGAGCAATCGATAGCTGAATGTTTCAAAGAGGTATAAATTACACAATTTACACCTCAGTCAATGTAATATAACGTAGGAAGTCTGTTGTATTGTTTTCAAATATTTTACATTCTATAAATGATTTCTTTAGTTGAATCAATTTTTTAAAGTTATTAAATCCTGTTATTACGAAGCTAAAATTAACATTTAATTCTTTTAGGTGCGTTTAGACATTAAAGAAATAATTATCTAACTTAATCAACGACATTTAAAAGGTCCAAGCTATATGAAGCGCTGTACGGTCTTGGGATACCTCCGAAACTGGTGCGCCTAATAAGGATTACAATGGATGAGGTGAAATGCTCAGTTCGGATTCAGGGAGATCTCTCATCAGAATTTGAGGCCAGCTATTTAGGCTCAATGGTCAACAGCAATAACAGGATCACGCTGGAAACAAGCCAGCGCCTAGTGAAGGCCAACAGATGCTATTTTGGACTTAGGAAGCACTTGAGGAGTCGAGCTGTCACACGCCTCACCAAATGCCAGCTCTACAAGACACTAATCCGGCCAGTTCTCACTTATGGATCGGAAGCATGAACCCTGACAAGTGCTAAAGAAAAGGAGATCTTGGTCTTTGAAAGAAAAATTCTGCGCCGAATAGTTGGTGGTGTCAAGGTAGTCGAGAATTAGAGAAGGCGAACCAACAGGGAGGACAGAGAGAGACGTGATGCGGCACCTAAAGCTGGGGAAGCTATGCTCTACTGGTCATGTCGTCAGGATGCAAGCGGATGAGATCCCGAGGAAGTTGCTGGACTGTAGGCTGCATCGGACCAGAGGAAGAGGTAGGCCAAGACTGAGATGTGAGGATGCCCTCATCAGGGATTCCAGGGAATTTCTGAATGTCCGTAACTGGAGAGCGGCCGCACAGGAGCGAGCTACATGGCGAAGGCTCATTGAGGAGGCCAAGGTCAAAACTGAGCTGTAGTTCCAAGGATGATGATGATCAACGGCATTATTGCTAAACCTAGCTATTTATCTTATTTCTCTTGACACTGACAGCAAATCTAAAATATCAAAAACAAGAAAAAAAAATTATCATAGTGAAATTACCATTTATATATATTTATGTTAGCCTCATAATTTGTGACATGTCTAAACGCACCTTTTGATTATACTGCCAAGTTCAAGAAGCTACAAAATATTCAAGTTTTTCGTGTAAATCAAATACATGATATAGATAGTAAAACATATTTATTCAAATTAAATAAAACAAATTCTGAAAAGTTTGTTTCCTTAATTGAATCTGGTGTATATATTCATTTGGCAAAATGTGTTTGGCCGAAAAATGCAACTACTTCAGGTTCCACAACGAAGGTAATAATTTTGTTTTCAAAAAGATTATATTAATAACTTAATTCCAAAGTTAAGTTTTAATTCATAATTTATGGTCATAATTATAGTATGTAATTTAATTATGTTAATGAATAACTCATTACATTAATTAACAAAAATCAAATTTGTCATTATTCGTCAACTTTGACACCATTATTTCGTCCTCAATAATAAGCCAGACTTCATTTGGTGCCTATATAGAACCTATTTTGATGTGTTTTTTTAATGTTAAAAAATTATATTTAGTGACCTCAATACTTCACATGTATTGAGTTGTAAAACGTACAAACAAACAAGTTCAGTAAATTGTTACTAAGAATCATGGAAAAATTAATTAAATTACTCAACATAAAAAAAATGAAGGAAATAAAAATTGCATTAATAACGACTGAATCTATAAAAATAACACGTGTTGATATGCATTAAACCAAGCAAATGATGTTTTAAACTTAACATCTGGTGCCGACAACTGAAACAAAGAAAAATAGTCTGTTATAAGAACCGACATCAAACACATCGTCAAGGTGCAGTAGCACGTTACCTAGGAATCTTTGTTCAAGTCTGCGAGTAACTAGTCTCCTACCAGGCCCCTTTCGGATGTTGCTAGTTTAAATAATTTTACACCCGCCTAAGTTGAACGCCAATGAGAACCATTCTTGCCCCACCCTGGGTAATGGTATGAAATCGCAAAGAAGTAAGGGGATGGGATCTTGTGCCATTTTTGGCCTTGAAGACTGAGGGTGCAGCGGTCTGATGTCTTCTTCCTGCTTTGGAGACTCAGGGTGCAGCGGGCGTAGGCTTACTTCCTGCTTTGGAGACTAAGCTTGGCCTATGCAGACCGGGGAGATAGGCTTCTTGGCAGCTTTTAAACCTTGGCTTTGACTGGACAAGATCTGCCACCTATTTACATCATGATGATCACAGGTAATGTTGGTAATGAGAAAGCATGATAAACACAAACCAGCCTTTGAGAAAAGAAATGCAATTAATTAATCCTGGACCAATCAATATATTATAGATTCAAATTTGTTTAACTATTTTTTATTATTAATTTTAATTGAATATTTATGGCTAATTATCCACAATAATTATCACGTGGCATCCCGAATAATAGTATTCCCCCTAAAACACAGCAATAATTTTCTCCCACAGACCTATTATCTGCCATCTTTAAGTCCAAAACAAACGATTATGGACCTGACCAAATACCCTTTAAAGTCATTAAACTATGCCTTCCAGCCTTATTTCCCACACTGTTGCACATATACAATTTCTTTCTAAAAAATTTCATCTTCTCCTGGAAGCCTGGAAAAGAGCCATAGTTCGCCCGTTGAACAAAGTACCTACTCCTTCCACAGCTTCCGACTTAAGACCCATTTCCAGATTATCCAATCTATGCAAGCCACTGAAAAGAATAGTTCACCCTCAGTTTAGCAACTTTCTTGGGCAAAACCGTCTTATCAATCCATTACAGTCCGGTTTCCGTTTCCATTATTCCAATCTGCATTGCTAAAGATTACCCAAAATCTCAATCCTCCATAGACAAACAAAAAATGTCTATCCTAATCCTTTTTGACTTTACAAAAGCCTTTGATTCCGTCAACCATAAGATCCTTCTTTCAAACTCCAAAGCCTGCCCATATCAAACAATTCTAAAATGGTTCCACTCCTTCTTATCCCACCGCTCACAAACAGTTGTCACTCCTAATAAATCTCCATCATCACCCCTCCAATTACCACAAGGTGTTCCTCAAGGCTCCTCATTCTCTCCAACCCTTTTCTCTATTTATATTAGTGATCTTCCTGACTCCATAAATCACTCCCGTTAGCACTTTTTGCCGATGATTTCCAAATTTAGCAATATTTCCACCCTTCTGAGATGCCTGACGCTACCCAAAAGCTACAAGAGGATATTGACTGCATCAACAGATGGGCAGAAATAATTAAGTTAGAGCTGAACATAAATAAAAGTAAGGCTATTCTCATCGGGTCCAGGCATCTCACTAGTTCCCTTTGTTTCTCTCTTCTACTATCCCTCAATAACTGCTCCATTCATTTTTGCCCATCAGTTAAGAACCTAGGAGTTATCTTTGATCACAACCTTTTCTGGAATAACCATATTTCCCAGATAACCCGAAAATCCATAGTTGTCCTTAAACAATTTCTCAAAAAACCAGACAGCTCCTGGTAACATCACTCGTTTTTCTCCACTTCGACTACGGTTGCTCGGTGTATGGAGGGCTGCCTGAAAGGCTGAAGCTGAAATTGAAGAGACTTATGAACTTTTTTATAAGATTCATCTTTGGGATTCCCAGACGTTCTCATGTTTCCCACTGGTACACCAAGTTGAAGTGGCTTTATCCTACTTCCCGACGACAATTCCTTCTTGGTGTTTTCCTCTTCCAGGTCCTAAGAACCAAAAATCCTCCCTATATCACGGAACACCTCACTTTATGTTCCTCTATCCACTCTATTAATACCAGATCTCAACCTATTGATTTATATATTCCTTCTCATAAAACTACCTCCTGAAATTCTTTACCCATCCCCATACGGCAATCCTCAACCTTAAATTCCTTCAAACAACTCTTATTTCACAATCTACTTCATTTTTAAACTTCCGTACCTATGTAATACTTATAGATTTTTGTAATTACAACTTCTTACTAACGACTAATTAATCGACAAGTTTCATTTATTTATTTACTTTTTCTTTGTATACATGTAAACCATAGAAAAAGTACTGGAGTTAAAGTGTTTACTATTATTATTCAGGTATAATTGCGATAACAATTGAAATTAACATTCATATGACCTCTTAGTACTCTGTCAAACCAGACTAAAGGACCAATGTTTTTTATCATGTTATTATTATTCTCAGGGGACTTTAGTCCCAGAATAAAATTATTTTTTCATTCATTCATTTCATATTTTTCCGACATCTCTACTACAGAAACCAGCACAAGAACATTTCAATAACTAGGTTGACATCAAAAAATAAAAACTTTAGTTAGTATCACAAAAATAAAAAGTATATTAAAAATTGGAAACGATTCCATACCTATAAAAATACAACAGTTACATTTATTTAAAGAATACATTGAATTGTTATGTAATGTCATGTATGTATTTTAAGGGAACTGTCTAGATTGCTACACTTAATATTTATCTCAAGAGGCGTTTGGACATTTCACAAACTATGGAGGAAACAAATATGTAAAAGGTTATTTGAATTTGGGGGGCGGGATGGCCGAATAGGCTAAAGCGTGTGTAACAGCACCGCTAGTTGCCTGGCGACCGGATAACAGAGATTTGAGATGATATAAAAAGTACGAATTCGCGTCCCGGTGCCGGAGGGGATTTTAAATTTCCCCGCCCTCACCCCCCGGCCCGGGAAAATCCCGTATAGCCTAAAAGCTAAAAGGCGAGGTAGGGAAGAACAAAAAAAAAAAAAAAAAAAAAGGTTATTTGAATATGTTGGTACAATAATACATTACATCAATCTCAGAAGAAAAACATCTGGTGCGCGGAACACACAACTTTCATATACCGCTCAACTTTGAATAGAAATTATTTTCTGGCCATGGTGGGCTAT